GCACCTTCGGCGTGCGGATTATCCGTCGGCCGGCGGGACGGTCCCGTTGCGATAAGGCTGCTGACACCGTGTAAGGAGGAAGGATTTCTGGTGACGTGGCTTTCCGAGGGCTCGCTCCCTGCGTGCAGCCTGGCAGGGCAGGATGGAGCAGCAGGCCGCAGGGAAAGGGCAAGGTGAGGGCTTAGGAACAAGGTTTTTTGGTACACGAAATGGCTGGTGCCGTCTTGCTGTGTCGTGGCTGGCATGGATTTTAAGGAGGCAGGTGCTACAGGGAAGAAAATGATCCTAAAGGATCTTTGGAGAGAGTAGGAGAAGAGTTAGCGGAATATGTGTGACTAATGCACTTATGTGACAAGCAGCTATTAAAACTTCAACAGCTTCACTTTAATTCTGTCTGCAGTCTGCCTTCCCTAGGCTTTCTTCAGATTTCCCAACTAGCTGAGTAAGGTCTACTGCTACGTTATCGATTTGTAACAGATTTCTGTCTTTTTTGTTTCCGTCTAAGCTCCCAAAGGCTTCAAAAGTAAGCATGCAAACAAACAGAGGCAGCATGGTCTGCTCAGGAATCTCTGAACTCGTTGTTACTCAGTATTTGAGATCTCCCGAAATCAAGTTGCCCCTCCAGCATCTCCCAGCAGACTCCCAAAGTCATTGGGTTATTGGCAGTTGTGCCTGCTAGAGAAGGCTGTTTCAGAGTCTTGTTTTTTTAAAAATCTTGGTTTGCTGTTCTCACATAATTTGTAAGAGGAAACTTGCTTGTGTATAGGCAGAGCCGAGCAGCTTTAATACTTTGAAATATTGCTATAGTCTTTGGCTGGCAAGGTGCACATATTTCAGATCGAGTGCCGTGTTCCTGTCTGTCTCTTACTGCATGGTGATCTGGTGTCCTGGTTCAGTGGTTGTCCAGTCTTAGGTCAACTGACCCTGCAGTCCCTTACAAAACTCATTTTTATGACAGAGGACTTGTCTAGAGGTGATGAAGCAGTGAATCCCACACTTGGGTATTAGTCTGGCTTTGCTGCTGAAGCTGGTATCCAGGTAGGCCTGCTCCTGGAAGTTATGTGTTACTGGAACTGTAAAATAAAAATAAAATAAAATAAAGTCCTGTACTAGTTTCAAAGTCTACAAAGGAGAAACAATAATCTAGGCAGTTCTTGCTTTCCTTCTCATTGTTCAGGTATGCTGTGGCCTCCCAGTGTGCTGGGCCTGTTGCAAGTGCTGTAACCCCTCTGTTAGGTGTATACTTCTTTTTGTGTCCAAGTTTGTGTAGGAGAGGTTAGTGCAAGACCACACCAGGTGGTCTCAGTCTGTGCCCACTGGATCACGCCACAGAACATAGGAGGTTGGTAGTTAATCCTGGCTGGGCTCAGTAGGGTTCCTGCCGGTGAGCTAAGTTTTGTGTGTGTGATACCCCAGGACTAACAGTGGCACCCTCTGTTTCGCAGGAATCCGTGGACTCTGCCAGCTGGCTGCCGAGCGGCGGCGGCGGGGCGGCTGAGGTCTCACGCAGGCCCAGACACGTGCCCCTGCCCCATTGTCAAGGCTGACGGTTTGGGGAACTGTCAGGCTGTTTGTCAAGGGTGAACAATGTCCTGTCTGTAGGCTATTGCATTACCGTAAATAATGTTAGAATAGCATGAAAAATCCCTTTCAGGTCAACTCCCCCACAAACGTTCTGGCTGGGCTATTAGCAGCTTCTCCCGCCCCCGCGTGCCCGGCTGAATGGGCAGTGTATTTGGCTGATTTGGGTAATGCTATTCAGTTTTTATGAAAGCAGATAGCAGAGCTCTTACTGTCCAGAATCCTGTTCGTGAGCAGGCTATTGGTAGAGCTGGAAAGGGCAAAAATGGATCAAGCTGCACAATAACCTCTAGCTAAGGATTAGCTCTGTTCTGTAGAAAGCCCAAAGGGAATAGTGCTCAAAATAATGGGGACATTTGAGAGCTTTCTTTACTAGTGTTCTTGTCACTGCTTCTTGGGGTGGAGAACCTGCCGTGCAGATTATATGATATCACCCTGATGAGGCTAGTATCTTGGTTAATCAGGACTGCTCCATTGACTAGTGTGCACCGCATGGTGACCAAAACACGTGCTTTTACCCCGTGTCTGCGTGGTCAGATGCACAGTCCAGCACTCCAGCAGGGCCTGTTGGCTTGACCTGGGTACTTTTGATAGTCTGGTGGCTTCCAGATAGGAGGTGGCTTGTATTGGTGGCTTGTGTCAGGGGGATGGCAACGCAGCTGCCTGTGCCTGACTGCGCAGGCGAGCTTTCATCTGCTTCCCGCTTGCATACAGGCAGAGCTCTGAGCAGGAACTGCAGTGAGGGAGGAGAGCAGCGCTTCTCACTTTTCTTGGACGCTGACAAATACCATATGGTGCAGGGGAAGCTACAGCAAGTCCTGTAACAGACAATTATGGGATAATCTGTATGTAGAGGAAGCTTGTTCCTAAAGTCTTGCCTGCTATGGTTTATACCCCGAGCCATTAGGACCTATATATGCTTTATTATTTTTTCCTGCCTAATGCAGCAACTCTCATTATCCGTGTGAAGGTCCGCACCTGTTCTGAGTCCAGCAGGCTGCTGGCATCAGTGGTATCATGTGGCAGGGAGTTAATTAGGTGTTCTAATAGGAAGAAAGGAGAGCATTTCCTTAGAATAATTTGGGGTACGTAGCCCTTTTGTATGGCCTTTGTACAGGGAAACACGGTTGGGTTTTCTGTTGTAAGATGGAGTAAAGGAGAATGTCTGACTTGCCTCTTCCATACGACAGATTATTTTGTGTGCTTCTGTTTTATGTACCTTTAAAATTATTTTGAAGCTTTTTAATCTCTTCACCTCTAAGACTTTTGAAGACTCCTAGTAACTTTGGCACCTGTGCTTTTTCAGACATACCTGTTGGAGGATAGAGTTGAGGGAAACTGGGAAGTGTTCTAGTGGAATACCCACTGTTGATTTTCATGCAATACTGTAACGCCTTCAGTTTTTCTCAACTCTTTCCGTAGTCAGAGTATTTTAACTGGACGGAGCCTTTAATTGAGCACAGTGATTCTCAAGTCTGCATCATGAAATGTGTGTGTCTCTCTTTTTTTTTTTTTTTTAACTATTTTTTGAGACCTACAGTTTTTGCCTGTTTTTAGTAATTTCATAGGCTTGGCTTAAAGCAGCCATTATTCTGTCTGTGTAGTCTGAATTGTCCTCTGAAGTGGCATCTTTTGTGGATCTTGGCACCCAGACCTTGTGTAGCTCAGGGCCACACTGATGGTTTGTTTCTAGAGGAACAGATGTGCCCTTCTCCATTTCATCTTCTGGGGAATAGGTCTTTTTTGTCCTGTAAGGCTTTCCATCTCTCTGTTGCTATGGGAATTTATGAATTTTGCTTGTAAAAAGAAGGCAATGAATAACAGTTTGGTTCAGCTAGAGTTCCTAAATGTAGTCTATATTCAGAGGTTATGGGAGGATTGGTGTGGTTTTGGGGTTTCTTGGTTGGTTGATTGGTTTTTGCTGGGGTTCCTTTTTGTTTAAGAGTCAATAATTACCTTAGAGAAACTATGACTTTGCCAGCTCCTGGAGTGGGGAAGAGGAAGAGAGGAATTGATATAGTTGTGAGGAAGGAGGGAAACTGTTGAAAGGAGAGTGCAGCAGCTCCAAGGGGGATGCTACAAGAACTCTTCCTGTGTGTGTAGCACAGGCAGCGTGAGCCTGTGGCAGCAGAGCACTGGGTTCCTCACCCTTGTTGTCTCTTTTACAGATAACTGACTCGGCTGGACACATCCTATATGCCAAGGAGGATGCTACTAAGGGCAAGTTTGCCTTCACCACTGAAGACTACGATATGTTTGAGGCCTGTTTTGAGAGCAAGCTTCCTGTGGGTAAGTGAAGTGAAAGGTCTGTTGGCTGCTTCTAGCTTCTGGACAAGTTCATGTAGATAAGTGGGTTAAGGTTGTGGGTTAAGTGATCCTGAGTGTGGTCTGCAGAACACTGTTTGACTTCTGAAGCTGATCTTCAGGAGGTGGTGGGCAGTCTCACTGCAGAATTATCTGCTGTCAGTGCTGCATTTGAAGTTAAGTAATCCTCTGTGGCTGTCGTGTAGAGTGTTTGGGCTTCCTCTAAAGGGGGAATCGCGTGTTCCTCCTGCAGAGGTCATTACAGTTGCAATGAGTGGCAGTACAGGGAGCAAACCACACCTCTTTTGCCCTTTTCTTGCTTCTACCTATCTTGCAGTTGAACCATGACAGAGCAGGATGCCATCATCTCCAGGACTCTGTCTTTCTCCCCAGATAGCCATCTCTCCCTATTTTGTGGAACATGATCTCTCCACAATGTGTACTTGGCAGCAATCCTGTGTTCGGTTAGCAACTGTTTTCTGGGGTTGGGGTGTGTGTGTATATAGAGAATGTGGCCTTGGTTTGCACCCGCAGCTGCTCTCTAAGTGGTCAATAAAGGGAAGGGGAAATGGGAAGGATGTCAGCCTTGCACTTGTGCTGCAGGGATGGTTGCCTAACGAACGCTGAGGCTCATTTCCTGTGAGTGTGACGCATGTGCTGCTTTGAGTGGCTGGGCTCAACTTCAGGGCAAATGTGCTGAAAACAGTGAACACATGGGCTCTAGTCTCACTTGCGGTGATGTGAGCACGTGCAGGTTCATAGGTGCTCACATCTTTTCACAGTCACTGTCAAAAGTGTTCTGCTCCCTGGACCTGGTTCTTCTTAGGTCTTATCCTAAAAGATCCCAGAGCATTTAATAGGGCAGTCGCTAGGAGCCTGCCTCATATCTGTTGAAAGACAGCCTCTGTTTTGCTGTTCTGCTCCACATATAAGATACAAATAGTTTGCAAGTTGAAGAGAACTTTCCAGAAAGAGAAGGCTATCTTCTTTGATGAGATTGGGAGGGATCTGGCTTGTAACACCTTTCCTATAATATTTTACAGATAAGACAGTGACCCCAAATGCTCAGGATTTTGCTTTTATTTCACTCCAAAGGCAGGGCTTCCAAATGCTCTGTAACACATCAAGACATAAGGCACTAGTGACTCATCTGGGAGTCACTCATGCTATTTACTGTCTAACACCTGGGTGTTAGGAGGTCTCCAGACAGTCCCACAGATCCTTTCATAGCTTCCATGTGATCATGCACTGAAGTGGGAAAGACTTGTTGTGTCTAGACTCTTATTTCAGTGCTTGTGACCAGAGGTTTCTTGCCTAGACTGAGCCCTTATAGATCTTTTGATTGTAGCAAATGTTTGTTCCCTGGCTGCCTTGTATTGTTGCAAGTTTGTTTTAAAGTTTTCAGTACTGATGAGGATAAAATACATGAAAGTGCAGCTTCTACCTGGTTACCAGTGGGGCATTGAGGCGCCAAAATCTAGAGCCATTCAGTTGAGCAGTTGAATGCTCTTCTGGGGGCATTCTCTTTGGGGACCTCCAAGCTGCCATTTTCCTTGTGGACCCAGACGCCCCAAATATCCGGCTGAAGAGAGGGACTGCATGAGTATCTGCGGTTTTCCCACGCCTGTGCAGGGAAGTATTAAAGTAAGGGAGGTGGTACTGCAAGGCTTGATCATCTACAGGACTTGGTTAGGGTATTGTGGAAGAAGTAACCGTATCACAAGGAAGTGCTTTGTTTCCTCCATAAGGTTAGCATGGGAATGGGGGAACTGACCAAGTGCTCTTTTGTCCCCATGTTTCTTTAAAGGTTTGGGTTGTTTTTTTTTTCCACAGTCTTATCAAGTAGGTGGTCAGGACTGGTAGTGCAGCAGCCAAGGAGGATGTCGGTGGAGTACTGGAAGAGAAAAACTGTTGGTAGAGGAAGCCCAGAGCCGTTGGGACTTGAGAGGTCTAAGCAACTGGGATTTCTCAATCCTTAACCACAGAAATGAGGAAGAAGAAGTGAGAAGGGATCCTATTTAGAAGGTCCACCATATCAGAGTGGAGGAGATCTTAGGGTGCTGCTTGGAGCCGTGGGTATTTGCATGACAGGCTTTTTTCCCCTCTTCCAAGGTGGAAGGGTCCTGTCTTCCTGACCAGTTCACTGTTTCCGGGCCCACTTGCTTTCACACTGTAGGCTAATCTCTGAGAACAGCCTGGCCTGCACTACATGCTCCCCTGTGTGCTAATCTTTACCTCTTTGCTCCTTCTGTAATCCTCTCTTCCCAAACTTTAAGAGTGTTATGGCTCATTTTTTCTGGAATTCCTGTGGGAAATTTTTTTGACATCCAGTTTTTCCATTGACTTTCCAAAATTAGGAGCTCCCCTAATCTCTGAGGACACAGTTCTGTGCTCATGTGAGATGACCTTTTGGGGGATGTGGGTACCAGTTTACTTCAAGGTCTCTGGGACTTAACTGTTTTTCTCTTTGTTGCTGATCCAGTCGGCTCTGGTGAGCCCTGGCTGCAGGAGGAGCAGGGAGTTACTGAGGATCTGATGAGCGTGAAGGGAGCTGCCTAGTGCCTTGGGCCTGGTAGACTTGTAGAGGAGGAGCTTGAGTTTTTCCAGGACAGTCTCTGACAACTTTAACCTCTTCGAGAATGTCTGCTTTCCATCCCTTTACACCCAGCAGCTCTAAGTTTTCTGCTTTGTTACTGCCTTTTGGCAGCTCTCCCTTCCAGCCTGACAAATAATCCTTCCAGTTCTGTTCTCCTGTTCACTGTCCTTTTCATCTTTTTCATCTCTTCCTGGAATCTCCATCTCTCCACTCAAGCTGCGGTAATTTAAATGACGTTAAAAAAAGCTGCCACTGAACTGTGTGCTTTGAATTTGCTTCTGCAGCTGCTGTTGGCTGTCCTGCCTGCTAGTCTCCAGGCATGCTGGTGTATGTGTGGCATAAGCAGGCAAAACTTGTGGTTGGAGAAAGGAGCACTGGGTGGTTGCATATACAGCCTGTCTGTTGAAGAACAGTGCTGGGATTTGAGTTTGTTTTTACAGTAACTAGTCTTTTATAAGAAAACCAAAAAATTCCATCCTAGTCCTACTTTATCCATTGGGCTATTACATGGCTGGGTTTGAATTTTGAGCTCCTGTGTCCTTCAGGAAGTTTAAGAAACAGTTTGTAGTTGATACGGACCATCTTGTCAGTAGGTTATTCCATGTTCTGCTAGCAACAGAAGGTGATTCTACTCTGGTGTTGAAGAGCTTGTTCAGTGGGTAAAGAGAAAATTTGGAGATGCTGTACTGTAGATCTGGAGTAACTTCTTAGGTCAAACTGGAGTGACCCAGTGTATGTAGACTGAGGGAATGTCCACCTGGCAGCCTCTTAAGGCAAAGTGTGAGTATTGGACATGCTCCTGGATGGAGACTCTGAAATTCATAGCGTAAGTGAATTCAGACCTTGTCTTTTGCTAGCAGCCAGCTGAGGACAACTGTATGCTCCAAAGTGCTGGAATTTGGGAATGTGTTATGTACAGACATTTCCTTGGTGGGTGGTATAGTGGAATATGATACTCGGGTCAGCAGATGTGCTGCATTCTTTAGGGTATCTTAGATGCTTTTTCTATGTATTTTTTCCATGTTCTGATTGTCTCAGAAGTGACAGTTCATAGCAGTTAAAAGAAGCTGTTAGCCGTAAGGGTCCCTAGCCTGGGGGCTACAGCCTTAAAGGATACCTACTGTGCTGTTCACTGCTGCAGCCTCATCCTGCTTGCTGTTTATGTGGCTCCAGCTGGCAGTTCTCTGAAGTGGCATTTTCCCAGCTTCAGAAGCCTTCTGCCATCTTGAGATTTGCATTAGCAATTTGGGTCTCGGACATCTGAGCTATTCTTTCCCTGAAAAGGTCTGTTGGTAAAGGGATTGCCTCCATTTCTGCAGGTACTGCAGCATGCGAGGCTCACTAGTCCCTGTATGCCGTATTCCTCAATTAGAGCAGTTTACCTTCTGTTCCTGTGAATGTAAAATCATTTACAACCCCATAACCTTGACAAGTTGCCGGTGCACTTCCTGCTAGGAGGAACGTGGGCTTCCCAGTTGAATATTTGTCCCTCTGGTGACTTGTCTTTCACCAGGCTGTCTCATAGCAGCTGGTATTCATCTTCTAATCCTCTGCAGTTTTTACAGTGATTTGCATCCTACACACACTTACTGCTTTTAGTTACAGCTTGTTCTCATTATCTTTGGGAGGCTTTCCTTCAGCCAGGATTTATTGTGAGGTCTCTGTATTTTTAGGCTGGACTGTACTGCCTCCGCAGTTAGCTGCAGACATGGAGGGAAGGGAGGGGGGTGTTGTGAGTTCTTCCTCAGTGGTGGGGAGAGCTGGTGATTTCCTGGCAGGCTGAATATTTCACACAATGAATCCTTTCATTATGCTTCCAGGAACAGGGAGGATGCCGGACCAGCTCGTGATTCTGGATATGAAGCATGGAGTTGAAGCAAAGAACTACGAGGAGGTATGTCCCCTGGCTGCCTGCACTGCAGGCTCCCCTTTCCCAGCACTCACGTGATGCCATTTGTAGATCTGGGGCTCATGATGGGAAGCTGTTTTCCCAGCGGTGATGAAAGCCTGTCTGCAGCCTACAATTCCAGTGAAGCTTTACGTGTTAGGGGAGGAAAAAAAAAAAAAAAGACAACCATCAACTAAAATTAATTCTGTACTCTGGGAACTGGAGCCTAGTGTGTGAATTTCTTTGCTAGGGCAGTGTGGCTCAGCTTTTGGGCATAAGCATTAGAGGCAGGAAGAGACTGAGATGTGAAGTTTCCCCAGCCCCAGCAGCGGAGGGCATTTTAGGTTAATATCAGATCCTCCTAAAGGTCAATTTGTGTTACTACTTTCCTTACCTTCCTGACCATAAGATGTACTGGCTCAACATCCCTGAAATGGCACTTGTGCATTTCTGAGAACTGGCAGTGTATCCGTGTAAAGGCGTTTGGTAGAGTAGTAGCTGGTGTGAAATGGGTATTTGGTTTGAAGGTGTGACACTGCAAATAGGCATAAAGCCTAAATGTTTCCATGTTAAGAGGATGTAGCTTTCTTAGACCCAAGAGCCAGCTGTGTAGAATAGCAGTTGTTTTATGGCTGGAACAGTCCTGGCAGGTTTGGATGCTGAATTTTGATGCCTGCTGCTCTGCTTTTGGCTCACTAGAATTTGGGGTCAGTCAGCCCCCAGCACAGAGTCTGTGCCTGAGAAAATGAGAGTGGTTGGTGGAGAAGGATTCCTGCAAATGATTGCTGTGTCCACTGCACACAACAGCATGGGAGATACCTTAGGGAGGAGAGTGGATAGCAGAGGAGGCTGTGTATGGTGCCAGTTAGAAAACAAATTTCTGAAATGGGCATGCTGGAGCTCCTTTTGAGCTTTGGGCTAGCTGGTCCTGCATGGCTTGAGTCAGTCTAGAGCACATCCTACATGGAAAGTAATAAGGTGCTTGGGGTTGGGGAAGGGGCAATCATTGCTTAAATCAGTCCAGAGCACATCCTACATGGAGAGTAAAAAAAGCACTTGGGGTCAGGGAAGAGAGAGCAATCACTGGGCCAGCTGTCTGGGAACCAGCTACTGAAGGATTGCAAGATGTTGAAATCTTATGGGATGACCCCTGAGAGTGTAATTGGGAGGATTATGGTAACTACATTTGCAGAATCTCTGTAAATACAACCCCACAGCATACTTTGAGTTACATTACTGTAGTGCCACCTAGAAGCATTGTCCCTCTTATGCCCTTACATCTACGTACTCACTGGTTGTACTGATACAGCTGTCTTGGAATAAAAGCAAGTAACCATTATGCTTGTCAGTGTAGTTAGATTGATGGAAAATTTCCATGGACAAACATGGGAAAAGAAGAATTTAGACTTGCTGTCTGACCTGATACCAAGTGCAGATCTTGGCAGCACTGTCAAGCATCCTGGACCTGTGAGGGCCTCTCAGAGTGGCAGACTGTGTCAAGCCTTGTTGAGCAGTGTGTCTGCAAAGGGCTCAACCTGTTACTGTTTGTACAGCTGCTGCGGATGTTTAGCCACACTGCTTTGCAGTATGTTTTCTTTTTTTCATCCACTCTCTCCCCAGGTTGGTGTAGTATTTGTGGGTTTTGACTGACAGGTTGCTGTAAGGTCTCAGAGGGGAGGATTGTTGCTCAGGTTTCTCTCCTGAAATTGCTGCCTTTTTGAGTTTTTTGCTTGCAGCGTTGATCTGTTGTAAGGCACCAGTCTTCTGACCTGTCTTCTCCTGCCTTCTTGTTGAATTGCTGCAAAGAGACTTGATGCAGGGAGTTGAACGAGGGTCACTGATACTGTCCTGCTTGTGCATGGATGGATATATGCAGTGAGAGAAGGGGTGATGTCCAAGTTTGGCTTCATAAACTTTCATAGGTCCAGACATTCTTGCAGCAAAGAAATGGTGAGAGTCAGCTGGGTTAGAAAACCTGACTGCATGGCAGTGTCATACCTTAGTTCTCTGGAGTAGGGAGAAATAACTTTGTCCGTTCAATAAGTAGAAATGAAGGTAGTGAAAAGACTTTTCAGAGGGCACCAAGAAGGCTTGTTGATCTAGGTTCCTTTCCAGATTATCTACTCCTTGTCAATTCTAGGCTACAGTGTGTCTCTTTCTACGCTAGGGAGAGAGTTAGGCTTTGGCAGATCTTTGAGTGGTCCCTGAGAAGTTCAGTGGTGGTGTTGTCTCGGTTGTCCTGATGGTCCAGATGTTCCTTCTAGAATGATGATATTCCACCATTACAGATGCTTGGTGTAGCTGTGTATACTGGCTTCACTAAGGTTGAAAGGGGTTCCAGGTTGTGCCTCTCGGAGTACATGCAGGACTAAAAGTAGCTATCAGATGTTTCTGGCTACACCTATTAAGAGCAGCTGAAGGTATGCAGAATGGAGCAGACAAACCTTGGTTTTTCACACTGGAACCTTTGTAGCCTTCTGTGAATGAGGAAAAGTGCCCTCCAGGAAGATAATGGAGCCGGGTAGTGCAGGGTTAGTTTGTCAGGAGAGCTGCCTGAGACCTTGTGTATGTTACAGACCTGCTGCTCCAGCTGTGACAGCAGAGTCTGGGCCATAGGCACTCTTACACTCATGCCAGTTTTTCAGCAAAGCTCTGCTGGCAGGTACACGTCCAGGCCACAGGGTTTTGTCAGTAGAACCTCTTGACTGGAAAGCAGGATGGGTCTAACCTCCCATTTCCTACCCTTTCTCACGAACGCACTCCAAACTGACACTGCTGTGCTGGCAGAGCTGTAATATACAACTTGCCTCAGTGTAAAAATCCTCAGATGACTGCTTGATGGGCTGTTGCTTGCCAGGATATGCATGTCATGGGAAGGGAAGACCCTTCAGTGAAATGGCTAATTAGCTAGCCTGGTCATGAGCATCTCTTCAGATGGGCTCTGACACCCAGACAGCTGCCTCTGGAAGCAGCTTTTGGGGATGCCTGCACCCTGTTGCCAGGCTGTTGGCACCTGGACCATTGTGGCTATGTCTGAGTAATTGTGTGTGGCAGTGAGACTGGTGGTGGGCTGCAGGGGCTCCCTGTGTTTTCTGTAGTTTTCTGTAACACATCTTCTGCTGCATTACTTGGGGAGACAGCATCTGGCCTTCATGGCGGAGGCCTGTCACTTGTTGGTAATAGTGACAAATTCTGTGCAAGAACCAGAGCTCTCCAAACCCTATGCTGTAGCAGTGGGAGGAATTGCAGTTGGCTTCCTTAATGTCCTTGTGTCACAGATTTCACATAACACAGTCAGGTTGCAGCCAGGACTGGGGCAGGGACATGTGTTTACACGTTTGACTTCAAATAGTTGCTGTTGTGGAATGTGCTTTCTAATTGAATTTCCTGTGGATTTTCCTTTTTGGATACAAGTCTGTGACTTGCAGGACTGTGGGTTGCATGTTCTGCACCAAAGAACGCTGTCCTATGAAGCCAGCTTTCATGAGGACAGCGTGCTTTGCTTTTTCTTTGCAACGGGTTCAGAGGCAGCCCGCCCCTAAGTGTTCCGGCAGCGCCACCTGCTGGCTGGAGGCAGCTGGAGCACTGTGTGGCTGCGTGTCCCTACCGAGAGCTGCCCTTGGGGTTGTCAGCCTCAGTGAGAAAAGCCCTGAGCTCTTGTCGGTGTGATCAAACCGCTACTACTGGGAATCGGGCTGCCCGGCCCTTCTGGGTCGTGTGGCAGCAGTTAGCAAAGTGAGTCTTGGTGCTAATATCCTGTGTGCCTGTAGAACTGTTGTATGCATATGTAAGTTAGTCACCTGTACCTCAGTCTGTGACTTCTGTTCACTGGAGGCTTAGTCATGTGGCAACCCACTCCTCAGAAGCCAACTATGAATAAGCTAACATTAGGCTGAATAAGGAAGAAATGTACTTGTATGCATACTGTGCTCCTCCATTGTGTAGGAGGGGTAGTAGGAAAGTGTGTTTCAGAGAACAGGTGGGACAAGTGATAGTGTTTTATGCAACGGTAGTTTCTGGCTTGCAGAGGTGTTTCCCTAAGGGAAGGATGCCCCAGATCTGTAGTATGTGAGGAGGAGCAAAAGCCCACATGGGAGCTTCTGGTTTTGGCTCAGCGATTGTCTGATTCTCTTGTTTTCTAGATTGCTAAAGTGGAGAAGTTGAAGCCTCTGGAAGTAGAATTGAGGCGTCTGGAAGATCTTTCAGAGTCCATCGTTAATGACTTCGCCTATATGAAGAAACGAGAAGAAGAGATGAGGGACACAAATGGTAAGAGACTGTGGGCTCCTTCAGAGGGATGGAGCTCTTAAGACCCCTTACTTCTGCTGAATGTGTTACTAGGGCAGCATTTGGAGATCAAGCAATTACAGTGGTTTCTGCCTGTTCTGTTACTAGTAAGGGAAACCTGCTGATATTTCTCTCCTTCTGAAGCAGTCACTGAGTCTTGTGTGTCCCATCTCTAGAAATAATTTCTTCCTGTCTACATTCCTAACGTGAATTACCCTGTACCATTTAATGTTGGCCATGAACCACAGTTTTGCCTTATTCCTTCTCGTATCTTTCTCATTCCCTCTGCTTTTATTCTCAAGTACTGCTGGTGCTTGGGTGCCCTTGCCTTCATGCTGTGAGATACCTTCCCTTTGAAATTTTGCATGGGTGGGGAGAGAAAATCCTGGGAACTTTGCCCTCTTGAGGTGCATCCTGTGATGTCAGACTCCTGTGCAATGGTTTGTTGTCTGTTTCAGAGTCGACAAACACCCGGGTTCTGTACTTCAGCATTTTCTCCATGTGCTGTCTCATCGGACTGGCCACCTGGCAGGTTTTCTACTTGCGTCGTTTCTTCAAAGCCAAGAAACTGATTGAGTAAAGGAGCAAGTCCTCCTCCCCTTCCTCTCAGACCCAGCTGGACACCGCTGGGACCCAGCCATGGCCCCCTGGAGCCATCTCACAATGATACCCACTGACTGGAGCTTTTCTACAGGAACTTGGACCCTAAAGGGGAAGGGGAGCCTAAACATTGGAGTAAATGGGGGACTTGTGAAATCCTGGTGGATGTTGAGGGTGGGGGACGTTGTGATGGGTTTGGGGATTCCTGGGGCAGAGATTAAATAAAAAAAAGAAGTTTCCATGACAGCTGCAGCAAGTTTTTGCGCTGTCTGTTCTCCTTTTATAATCTTGGCTTGATGATGTCTCCCATCTGTCTGTGACTGTAGTGTTACTCTGAGGCACTTGACCCTGCTGAGCTCTTTAGGTGCCATGCAGCTAGCGCCGCAGCAGAGCAGAGGATTCCCTGGTCTGACCAGCTGGGATCTAAGCCTTGTGCAAACAGAGGTGAGTGCAAAGCAATAGGATTCATCATTCCAGCAGGGCCTGAGGATAGAGGGAGGTCCAAGGTTTGGTCCCTGTCGTGGACCTCTGTGTTTCTCCCTGTGGGAGCTGGTCTTTGTGCTGACAGGTCAGGGCACTTGAGTGTACGGTTGTTCAGCCTGGAGGAAGGGGAGCCTTGGAAGGAGGGCTTGGGATCATGTTTGAGCTTGTAAAGGAGAAGCCTGCTTTGCTCAAATACACTGTCCAGCCTTGGTCCCACCCTTGCTCCACGTGTTTGTCTTGGATTTGCCTCTCTTGTTCTGAAATGATGCAGCAGTTTTCCTGAAAGCCTTGGTCAGGGATGGCCTTTTGTGCAGAACAGGAGGCCTCTCAAGGAGATACAGTCACAGAGCAAATAGGAGCAGGTTATGCTAGGAAACTTGGTTTTGCATTGAGGAGGAGACTTTTCTCATCTGACAATGTAGCGTTTATCCAGCAGCCAGCTGGCTGGATCTCATTTTCTGAGACCTCAAAGCAAGGTGGGCTGCTGCTCATGTGAAGCATGAGGGCCTGTACCCTGCATTGAGGTCTGAGGGTGGAAGGTGTGCTTTGCAGGTTGGCAGAGGAGGTGGAAGAATGTGGATTAACTCAAAAAAGCAGTACAGGGCAGGAATAGGCTAATTCTACACCTGGGGGAGTCTGAACTGTGCCGTCAACAGAATTGTTACTCTCTTATGCGGTACTAGAGAGAGAGAGAGAGCGAGAGCAAGCAGCTTCTCTTAATTTCTCAGCCATCCCGATGGCATGATGTTAAATAAGCCAGGCTGGGAAAAAAACAAGTTAACTTTCTGGACTTACCTGCTGCAGTTTTTAGGCAGTGATTAAAATTCTTTCACCTTCTCTGCATTCCTTCAGAGCAGATGGTTCAACAGCACAGCATTCTGGTGTCACGTGCCCAGACACTTCTGGCTAGGGAAGGGGTTGTCATGGCCCTGGGCCCAGCCTACCATTTTGAAAAAAAGCATAGTTTTATAATTTCTGACCTGAATCTGATCTATTGCTGAGGAGGAAATGGTGGTCCAGGGTGAGGCAATGGGAAAGAGGACGAAAAGATTACCTCCTGTCATCTAAATACATTAGTACTTTGCCTCCCCTTTGCCATTGCCAAGTTCCTGGAGTTGTTAGCTCCACTGGCAAGTGCTTAGATTGCTTTTGATTTGTTTCTTTTTTGGTAAAGCCATATTAAGAACCCAAGTTCATTCCTCTGCCCTTGCATCCATTTTATCCTTGTACGTTTTTGAAAGCTGTTACAGCGCAGAACAGCAGTGATGCCGCAGGACTGAATTACAGAAGTCAATTGAAGGTAGTTTTAGGTCCTACAGTTTGAAGCCTGTAGATCTGTTAAGGTTTTGCTTTTGTTTTTATATGACTTGAAAATACAGTACAAGAAAGGGGCTTTTCCAGTCTTGTCTGTTTTGATACCCTCTCCCCGTCCTTACTGGAGTACAAAGATACCTTTATCTTAAAAATGGTGGCAAGGCCTTAAGTTCCCCAGGTGACTGTTACACTGTCATTGTTCTGGTGTTGCATTTTGATCTTCACTGTACTGGTATGGTTACTGGGGAGCAGGTGTGGGGGACTGGTGTGGATTTACCTGTAATGACTGTTTGGGGGATTTTTGTCAACTTTCTCAAATAAAATTTCTTTGGGGAAAACCAACCCACCTCAGTTGTCCATATGAGTCTTGTCCTTTTTGTGCATGTTCCTACTAACTTCTGTTTCCTGCAAGCTGACCTGTTGCAGGAAGCAGCAAGTACACAGACCCCCTGCAAGCCTTTGGGTTTGTCTAGCAAAAGCTAATTTCTAAAGAATTTTAGAATTCTGGATTTGGGAAAGGTACCAGCTGCACAGGCTTCTCTGTGGAGTGGGACCCGCACAGCAAGTGAGGTGTCTCTAATACAGGTTACCATTTGTTGCCTTTCTTTCTGTCCCTCTAGGAGGAATTTTGAGGCTGATAGTGAAACAGGGCTGGTGCTGTAGAGTACAAGATTCACTTTTTCACCGTTGGCTCCCATATAAAACTTAGTTCATTAAATCAAATTGAAGTACTTTCAGTTTTATGCTTTAGAGAAAATTTTAAATTGTTGCAAAGATGAGTTGGTCCTGTGTGAGTGGCAGATGATTGCTGAAGAGAGTGGTTAGGTATTTACCGAACTGCTGTCAGATCTCCTCAGCTGAGCCTGCGAGCCTTTTGTCCAGGCAGTAGCCAAGTGAAATATGCCACATAACAGGACTGGGGGCACATAAGAGCTACATAATGAGTTAGTATTATCTGGGAGAATTTCAAGAAGGGAAATTCCCAGATGTTTGGATAAGGATTAGCCTCTGCAAGTTCTTGCCCAGATGAATATTTGAGTATGTGAAATTGTACAGCTGATCTCATGCGATAGGTTGGTGGTGGGTCTGGGCTGTTTCAGAGCACTGTGGATGCAGAACTGGTGTCTTTGTTCCATTTTACTTCTGGGAAATGGGCAAAAGTTGAGCTGTTGCAGATACTTGGGTCCGAGCCCATCTTTGTGTGTGACAGATGCATCGCTGGTAAATCTATAATTGCCTGTAGCAAACTGCATCAGATGTTTCCAGCCTCTTCCACCCACTTGTCAATGTGACTAACGATTTAATTATCACACTACTTAACACAGCGCGTGAGCATTCCTAAGGTAGGCATATCTTTGCGTATTCCCCCTCCTGCTATGCCAATGTAGGCTGCACTCTGTACAAAGTGCCTGCTGCAGCTGCTGTGTGCGTCCATCCGTGAGGGGATGAGCATTTTACACACTCTGTTGCTCATTTCTTACAAGCTGCTCAAGTATGTGAAAAATAACGCAACTGTACAACACCCGTGTTGTCTCCTAACTGACAGATCAGAGACTTTTGACTCAAACTAGTTTGGCAACTGGTTGGTGCGATCATTAGGGGATTCCTGCCTGTGCATTTTGTGGGGTCCTACAGCAGAGGTTTGGGAAAGCAGGATGGCCTCTCTTCAAACCTGCCAGTTCATGTGTTGTATTTCTGCCTCTCTTATATCTTTAGTTGTGTTCCTCTGCTGTACTTGTCTTTCAGATGCCCGAGATGGCCTCACCCTTAGTGAACAAAGTCTCTGGAAAATGAACTTCCCATACCTTCGAGGTGGCTCGTTGGGAAGAACAGAGCACAAATCTGAAATTGATACATCTTTCACAGGAGAAAAAAAGTTGAGTCTGGTGAAGACTGCAGGAGTTCAGGGTTGGTAGTTTTGTCTGCTGCCCCTTCTCCACCTGAAAAATTTGTCAGGCTTCTGCTTGTTCTGTTGGTCCTCTCCCAGACAACTGCTAGTGGTGGTGTGGTGGCTCTGGTAGGCCTGCCTTTCTCTGAGAAAGGTGGAAGGAGCAGGGGATTTAGAAAAACTGCCTGTTGGCATTTCTTGGACTTTTTTGTAAATCTGAAACAGGTGAGCCCAAGCTTTTGCTGCAGCACTAAAATACTTGTATTTGCTCAGCAGTGTTTGTAGGAAGCCTATTTTGCTCTGCACTGGAAGCCTGCAGGAGTTGCTCTGTTTCAGCTGCAGCTGAAGTGACTTAAACTTTCTGCAAAAGGGCAGACACTGATGCCTGATTACTCCTTCTGTTGCCAGAGGTCCATGTGGTTTCTCACCTTAAACTCAATGCATTAGCTTCTGCATTTCCACCTTGCTGACACTGCCTTCCAGAGGACCTGAGGTCTCCAGATATCCATCCTAGAGATCTTTGCTGTGAGTATCATTTGTTTAGCTCCTGTTTGGAGAAAGCTGCTGTGTCCTGATGGACCCATCCAACTTGTTCTATTTCAGTTTTTGCAATCAAATGTACATGTTGAATAATTTCCTTTGGGGGCACGTTACTCAAAAAAGGCAACGACAGAACCATGTTCACATTGCTCAGTCTCACTTCTGCGGTTTCCTGCCACTGAATTTCCTTTCATAGCTGATATTCTCGAGGTACCTTTTCCCTGAGCTTTTAAATTGGTTGCATTATGTGATCTTTGCATAAGCTGCTCCAGGAGGTTCTGTTGGAATTGTAATGAGATGTTCTTGGTTTTTCTTGGTTATATGTGGATGCTGTTCCTACAGCTGTCACACAGCTGAGGCAGGCAGAGAGGAGGGTGTGCTTGTGTTTTCCAGCTATATCCCATTGCAGCTCTTGTCTGATCTACTGCAGAGCTTACCCTCTAGGGTTTTCTCACCCATACCAGCTGCTTGGTCTTATTTCTCCCTTAATATATTTTGTTTGGATAATCTTCTCCCAGGTGTAAGATATTTGTTATACATATGTAACTGGAATCTCATGGTGTTGTCTTCTTAATTATAATTATGTAGATACCATGTCATTTCTTCCTTCTCAGTGTGGGCTGTTCTTTCCTTGTGTTGGTAACATAATCGATGTACTGTCTTGACTCTGAAAACCATGAATGAGATCTTTGAACTGAGGCTGATACTTGCTATGATTTGGTTTAAATGACTGTTCCTTTATCCAAATTCATCCTTCAGTAACAATTTTGCAAGAAGCAGAATGGCACATTGGCTCTAGGTGGTATGACATCCTTAAATGCCTGAGTAAAAAAATTCAGTATGAAGTCAGGTGTGTACTCTTCAGTCATATTCCAATAAAGCTGAGTGGACAGCAGCTGTTACTTCCCTTAGGGGCATCTTGCTGTGAGAATTACAGCCCTGCTTTTTAAAGTGTAGTACAGGCAACACTGTGGGGTCACTAAGCCTCATCGTAGCTACTACTTGCGATCATTTTATGGAAGAATTTGTATGATATGGTAGATTATAATAGGCAAGAAAACTCTACTTTTCAAATTGGAAAAATGAAGATTGACTTTTTCAATTAGTCTTCTGGTCTTCTACAATGTTCCAGATTCCTTAATCCCATTTCTGTTAGATTTTGCCATCTAGATTTTTTTAAAAATTATTATTTGCCAGATGACATTTTGCCAGGTACTCCCCTTGCAGTGGAGGGAGTGAATGATCCTTAGCAGAACGTCTGAGCTTTTTCATGCATTCCTGAAAACTCCTTTATTCTAAAACTGACATGCTGCCTTTGCTGCTTGGAAGGAGAACATCTTTGTATGGAAATAGTTATGATGCACAGCAAATAAAACTTTGCTGGATAAGTTACTCACTTTTAAAACAGGTGCATTGTAATGCTGAATAGCTCTTTAACCCTCACCACACTGCAAGGAACCTGGCTC